AGAGAGAGGAGAGATCTGAGAGAGAGAGAGAGGAGAGAAATATGGGTATGCTTGGTACCAAGCACAAATTTGTGTGTCTTCGGTAGTGATGTGGTCATATTACCTCATCCACTCACTACCCATGGTGAATTTGTTCCCATATTTTTGATATGATTCGTGGATGGGGGATTTGACATGCTCACTACAAGCAAACTTTTTTGTGCTTGGTACAAGCTTATACCCATATGTTCTCATATGAGTATATATAATATATATATATATTATATATATATTATAGTTATTAGTATATAGTCATATATATATATATAGCTATAGCATTGCTATTCTCTTTTGGCTTTGTGGAAGAGTTTGGGTGAAAAATAAATAAATTATCTAATCCGGTTAAAGTAGGATCATATAAGTTCAGCCCATGCATGAAATTTATTTTAACAAACACTAATATGTAAGTATTATTGGCATTAAGATCTAAAATATGTGTGAGATTCTCTATGATATTATTGGCATTAAGATCTAGAATATGTGTGAGATTCTCTATGACTTTTATACAAATAGTATCTATTTAAATAATAATAGTATAATTCAACTTTATGATCTAAAAAAGATCAAATATACAATATAATTAATTACTTTAAAATAATCTGATCCAATCTAATAAAAAGAAAATAGATAAAAATGATATAAAAATTATTATAATTTTATAATTCATAATTTTTAAACAATCTAATCTAATAAAAAATAATAAAGGCACATACCTGTTAAAGGAGATGAAAGAGTTATAAAAATTATTGCAAGTTCTGATATAAAAAAGATCAAACATATGATATAATTAATTACTTTAAAATAATTTAATCTAATCTAATAAGAAGAAAATAGATAAAAGTGTTGTGAAAATTATTATTATTTATTAATATGAAAAAAGATTAAATACGCAATATAATTAATTGTTTTAAAATAATTTAATCTAATCTAATAGAAAAAATAACAAAGTCACATATCAATAAAAAGATATGAAAGTGCTATAAAAATTATTGTAATTTCTTGGCTTATATATATTTGCATGTGATGTTACATGTGAGAGAATAACAATTGTAAATAGAGTTCTATCTAAATAATAATGTATAATTAAACTTTAAAACTAGTTATGCAGTACCATGAACTACTTAAAGTTTAGTCGGTGAGAGATTGCCATGTTGTGTCCTCAGATTGCAACCATTTATTTTAATTTTTCTTTTTTATAACTTTGAGAACGACTCTTGTGTCTTTAATTTGTTTGGTGGATTTTATAAATATCTCATCCATATTATTTACATTTGTAGGTCTACGTTGTTCCTAAGTTCGACCTTTAGGGCAGACATTATTTGTCTCGTTGATTTGTTTGGTTTTTTGCATATACGCCATTCATCTTGTATACATTTGTAAAGTTGGCATTTAATAATTTCATTTAGGTTTACATTTTAATTTAAACTATATCCCTATCTTTTTTTTTGGTCAATGAAAAAACATTTTATTCATTTAGCAAAATATGGAAATTATGTACATCACTATCTCAACATTGAGAAAACCAAGCTTCTAAAAAAACATCAAAATTACAAATATATCAACCAATCTCTATGTTCAGCAGAGATGGGATTGTTCAGACATATAGTGAAAATATCCATTTTGATGACCTTCACTAATTGATCAATACTCTTTAATCGCTGCTGAAAACATCTGCCATTTCTTTCTTCCCATAACCTGTACACAGCAGCCGCAAGAGCCATTCTTCTAACCTTTTTTTTTGAATCCCTTCCCTCTCTGTCTGGTGTTATACCAATCCAAAAGTAAGGTCCAAGCACAAGTTTGCCAATCCATTTTAAGCTAGTTCATGATGTTTAACCACACATCCCTGGAAAAAATGCAATAAAAAAATAAGTGATTTCTGCTCTCAGTTCCTGTACCTGCACATAGGAGGCATGAATTTGCATTGATGATTTCTCTCCTCATCAATCTGTCTTGTGTTTGCAACTTGTTCTACACCGCCAGCCGCAACACAAACGAGTGCCTGGGATAATTCAACTTCCCGCACACTGTGTTAAACCGGGGAACATTTTGTGAAACATGGGAGAATGCATTGTAAACTGCTGATAACTGGATTTTAGAGCTTTTATAACAAGTACTAAGCATGTGTATCAGGTTGTCAATCCCTCCAACTTCATTCAAAGCTTTATCCATACTTTTGAGAAGCTGCTTCCACATCCAAGAGCCCCCTTTCTTGGCTTTGACATGCCATACATCCTAATGCTTTAAGTAATTCCCATGAATCCATTTCACCCATAAAATTTCCTTGTTAACATGAATATACCATATGCTCCTCATAGCTGAAGCCAGATTCCAATTAACATCTGAGGAAACTCCCAGTCCACCTTGTTTTTTCCCACAACATACTTTATCCTATGAAACCAATGGAGTTTTAAAAGAGTTTTAACTTCATTCAAAGCTTTATCCATACTTTTGAGAAGCTGCTTCCACATCCAAGAGCCCCCTTTCTTGGCTTTGACATGCCATACATCCTAATGCTTTAAGTAATTCCCATGAATCCATTTCACCCATAAAATTTCCTTGTTAACATGAATATACCATATGCTCCTCATAGCTGAAGCCAGATTCCAATTAACAGCAGAGAAAACTCCCAGTCCACCTTGTTTTTCCCACAACATACTTTATCCCATGAAACCAATGGAGTTTTAAAAGAGTTTTCAGATTTTCCCCACAAGAATTTCCTGCATTTCTCATCAATCAACTTCACAACCTTTACTGGAAGTATAAAATTAGATGTCTAGTAATTTTGAACCCCTAATAACACACTTTTGATTACCTGAAGCCTCCCTGCATACGGTAGGTTGCTATGTCTTGACCACTTATGAAAATGATTTGAAATTTTATCCAAAAATGGATTGCAATCCACATATGTTAGTCTCTTACAAAAGAGAGGAACACCTAGATATTTGAAGGGAAGGACACCTTCTGAAAAACCCAGGAAGTTTTTTATCTCTATTTTGGCAGAATCATCAACTCCACCAAAGTATATAGAGTATTTATCCAGGTTAGCTTCTAGGTCAGTTGCATCACTAAAATCTTTCACACAATGATGTAGCTTTTGGATTGAATATAAATCTTCTTTGGCAAAGAGTAGCAGGTCATCCGCAAAGATGAGATGGGATATTTTGAGCTTGCCACACATTGGATGATATTTGAACAACATGTCCTTCTTTAAGAGCTCTAATCTCCTGGATAAGAATTCCATCCCTAGAATGAATAAGTATGGTGAAAGGGGATCAACCTGCCTTAAACCTATCTTTCCTTCAAAATAGCCATGAAGTGTTCCATTGAGAGAAATAGAGAATTTAGGAGAAGAGATACAAACCATGATCCAGTTTATCATCTCTCTAGGAAACCTCTGCCCTTCAAGCATTTTTCTTATAAAATCCCAGCTTATTGTGTCAAAAGCTTTTCTAATATCAATATCCATCATGACTCTTGGTGAAACGCTTTTCCTACTATAGCTTTTAACAAGCTCATGTGCCAAGGAGATATTACTTGTAATTTATCTACCTTTCACAAAAGCACTTTGTGCTTCATTCACAATGCTCCCCTTGATTGGTTTAATACTATTTGCTAGGATTTTGGAAATAAATTTATAGATGTAGTTGCAGCAAAATATGGGTCTAAAATCAAAATGGGAAACTAGACATTGTTTCTTAGGAATAAGAGTAATGGCAGTTGAATTTACCATTCCCAGCAATTTACCATTTTTGAAGAATTCTTCAATTGCTAAAGTCACCTCCTCCCTAATCACAGACCAAGCAGATTTATAGAATGCAACTCCATATCCATCTGGTCCTGGTGCTTTGTTATCATCAATTGAAAAGATTGTATTCTTTATCTCTTCTTTTGAATCAGGTCTGGAAAGCATATCAGCTTGTGCTTTATTCAAGCATGGTCCAGCTTGAATAACTTGAATGTCTGGTGTGGTTGTAACTGGAGCTTCCCCCAATAGGCCCTTGAAGTATGACACCATTTCATTTACAATCTCCTCGTGATCAGAAATTCTCTGCCCTAAGGTATTGTAAAGTACCAACACCTTATTATGATGTCTATTTGCTTTGATTCTGGAGTGGAAAAAACTTGTGCACCTATCCCCTTGTACACTCCAATTTATCTTGGCTTTTGCTGCTGAAATGAAAGCTCACAATCCAAAAGTTTGTTATAATTTGCAATACACTCCCTTTCCTTCATAATGTAGTCTGGATTGAGAGGATTTATTTGCAAACTGCCTTGAACCTCTTCAAGAGCCTTTTTAGCTCTAAGAACCTGCTCACCGATATTATAATAGTGCTTCTTGTTTAACTCCTTAAGTGCACCTCTCATTAGTTTAAGCCTCTTGCAAACTACAAACATTTTGTATCCCTCTACTTTTGTTTGCCAAATGGCAGAAATAGTAGGAATGTAGCTATCATGCTTGGACCACATCTTGAAGAATCTAAAAGGTTTCTTTCCTTTTGAACATTCCTGGAAAAGTGAAACTAAAGCAGGAGAATGGTCAGAGAAGTAAGGCAGCAAGAATTCAACCTGACTAGCATTATACATGTTAAGCCATGCATCATTCACCAGAGCTCTATCCAGTCTACACCACACTATGGAATCATGATCTTGTTTATTGTTCCATGTATAGAAGCATCCTGTTGTTTTTAGATGATTTAGATGGCAGTCTTCAATTAAATCCCTGAAATCTTTGGTGTCAGCTTTAGTAATTACAGCACCTCCAAGCTTTTCCTCACCATTGATGACAGTGTTAAAATCACCACACATGATCCATGATTCATTCCTCATAGATTGCTTTATAGTTTTCAATTCAGTCTATAACTCCTTCCTAGCCTCCATTTGGTTAAAACCATAAACATATGTAATCATGCAATCCATTCTCCCATCTAAAGAAACTACTTTATATGTGATACTTTGATCAGATATGTTGATTATTTGAACACCAAGGATATTTGAATCCCACATTATCATAGTTCTGGCTTTTCCATGAATTCTGGCATTAAATACCCAGTTCCAGCTTCCAGCAACTTTTTTGCTACTTGCTGAACCTTGCTATCTTCATACTATGTATATCCAATAAAAATTAATCAATTTATCAACTTACTCTTACTTAATGGATTAGTATTTAAATTTCATGAGTATTTTTTTCTACCGAAAGATTTTTTCGAACTTGTGCTTTTAAAGGGAACATGATATGATATAGAATATTTTTCCACTGATTTAATGGTTTTGTTATCATCTATAATAAAACCAGTTTATGAAATTTTCATGGTAAGATTTGAGATGGTTTTTTAAAAGGGAAAAATGTTTCAAGGCCTAAAAAAGAGAGGATGTGACTAGCCCCCCTTATTATTTTATGGGTGACAAAGCCCCCAATATAACATCCACTTGTGTTTAAGTCCCTATTTAGGTTTCCAACGCAACACAGTGACAAATATTTGTTCAAAACCCAAAACTGCCCTTAACTCATTTCGTTTCTTCTTCTTCTTCTTCTTTCTTCTTCTTCACTACTTTAGCCTCTTAGTTTTCTGAAGCACTCTGTTCATCTTACTTCTTCTGAGACCCATTTCACTTCCTCTTCCTCTTCTCAGTTGAAGGTATAAGTAAACAAGAGGATCTCAATTTCCTCAAGATACAGGTACTTTTATCCCTCTGTCCCTATGTTTTTCTCTTCCTTCTAATTTTTTTTTGTATGACGTTAAATTTTCTCTTTCATTCTATCACATTTTACTTCTGGCCATGTTTTTTGTTCTACAGGTAATGTGTACATATTTATTATGTTGTTCCCTACAAAAAAGATGCATTTTTTCCTTCTTTTTTTCTTCTTGGTTGTAATTTTTTCCTATTCAATGCTGCCACCGTCGGCAAGAAACCCAACGACGACATTTTAACAATCCCCGTCGAAGACGAGGAGATCATCGAATCCGTGGTCATGGGTACGACCCTATCTTATTCATTGGAGTCCAAATTGGGAGACCGCAAACGCGTTGCAGGTGTTCGACGCGAGGCCTTAAGGAGAATCACCGTAAGAAATCTCAACGACCTACCTCTTGATGGGTTCGATTACGCCTCCATCCTCAGACAGTGCTGCGAGATGCCGGTTGGGTTCGTCACATTGCCCGTTGGCATCGCGGACCCGTTGGTTTTGGATGGGAGGACTTACTACGTGCCGATGGTCACGACTGAAGGGTGTTTGGTTGCGAGCACGAACAAATGGTGCAAGGCCATCGGAGAGTCAGGTGGGTCCTAGAGTGTTGTGCTTAGGAATGGGATGACGAGGGCCCCGACGGTGAGGTTTATGCTTAGGGTGCAAGGCCATTAGGGAGTCACGTGCCATGTTTCATTATTCAGTTGATTATACTATGTGTTCTTGTGGTTTGGTTGTACTTAGATTAAAATTTAATGAAATGTATTGTGTCTATTTAGTGATCAATTTTGGTGTAATTTATTGCAATTGTATGTAAAATGTATTGTGGTTGTTATGTGAATATGTACAAGTTACGATAATATGTACAAAATCTTAAACATGTTAACTCTCATCTGAATATGTTAACTTTCAGGTATATATGTTAACATTCAGGTTTATATACTAACATTCACATGAACATGTTAACTATCATTGTATATGTTAACTTTCATCTGCATATGTTAACTTTCTCACGAACATGTTATATCCATCTCTGCACGCTAACTATCAGCTGAATATGTTAATTTTTAGTATAATATGATGAACGTTAACATGTTCAGTTGAAAGTTAACATGTTTTAAACAAAGTTAACATATTATGGTGAAAGTTAACATGTAATAGTGAATGTTAACATATTATGATGGAAGTTCTCATTTTCACCTGACAGTTAACATGTTATGACAAAGGTTAACATATTATTATGAAAGTTAACATGTAACAATAAAAGTTAACATGTTCAGCTAAAAAGTTAACATGTTATGATGAGAGTTAACATATTATGGGATTTAATAGTGAATCGTAACTTGAAAATTATGTACATAATCTATATATATTATGTACACAATAACCTCAAGATTATGTACATATTATGTACCATAATATTCATGTTTTGATACACATAATTTATATACAATCTTAACATATTCAGTTTATTGTGCATATCAAGTTCTATTTGAATGAACTTGTACATATTCACATGACAGCCAAAATACATTTCTCATACAATTGCAATAACCAAAATTGATCACTAAATAGACAAAATATATTTCATTAATTTTTGATCTAAGTACAACCAGACCATAAGAGCACATAGTATAATCAACTGAACAATAAAATATGACACGTTACAAGCAATTCTGAAGAAGCTACACAAGTATAAAGAGTACACATAATATAACCAACTGAACAATGAAACATGACACATTACAAGAGATTCATGACACGTTACAAGCAATTCTGGAGAAACAACACAGGAATAAAGAGTACAAACAGTCCCATTATAAAATTTAACATCTTCTTCATCTTTTCTTCTGCAAGCTTACCCATCAAATTCATTTCTTCTCCTCATTTTCATAACCTCATCCAAGCAATAACAAGCTTCATGTTCTTGTTTATTCAACTTAAACTCTTGTTTGAGTTTGGAAATTACCTCATGACTTCTTAGTCTCATAATACTTTTCAATCAATTTATCCTTCAAATCCAAGCTTCTCCTCAAATCAGTGAGTTCTTCTCTCATAAGTGGAAATAATTGAGTTCCCACACTATACACATGGTTGTCAAACCACTCTCGAAATCTACAGTCATCATTCTGAAATTATGTACAAAAACAAAATCAAAATCAAGTTAAATCATGAATCATAAATCACAGCCACTTAAGCAAAAAATAATAATAAATTCAAGATTACTTACATGAGGATTTTCATTAGTTATAAAAGTGTAATACTCACACATACATGAGGACTTTCATCATAATATGTTAACCTTCACTATTATATGTTAACTTTCACCATAATATATTAATTTTATTCAAAACATGTTAACTTTTAACTAAACATGTTAACGTTCATCATATTATGCTGAAAGTTAACATATTCAGCTAATAGTTAGCATGTAGAGATGAAATATAACATGTTCGTAAGAAAGTTAACATATGCAGATAAAAGTTAACATATACAATTGATAGTTAACATGTTCATGTGAACGTTAGCATATAAACCTGAACGTTAACATATACACCTGAAAGGTAACATATACAGATGAGAGTTAACATGTTCAAGATTATGTACATATTATCGTTACTTGTACATATTCACATGACAACCACAATACGTTTCACATACAATTGCAATAAATTACACCAAAATTGATCACTAAATAGACACAATACATTTTATTAAATTTTGATCTAAGTATAACCAAACCATAACAACACATAGTATAATCAACTGAACAATGAAACATGACACGTGACTCCCCAATGGCCTTGCACCTTAAGCATAAACCTCACCATCAGGGCCCTCGTCATCCCATCCCTAAGCACAACATTCTGGACCCCACCTGACTCCCTAATGGCCTTGCACCCTCTATTCGTGCTTGCAACCAAACACCCTTCGGTCGTGGCCATCGACACGTAGTAAGTCCTCCCATCCAAAACCAACGGGTCTGCGATGCCAACGGGCAATGCGACGAACCCAACCGACATCTCGGAGCACTGGCTGAGGATGGAGGCGTAATCGAACCCATCAAGAGGTAGGTCGTTGAGATTTCTGCCGGTGATTCTCCTTAAGGGCTCGCGTCGAACACCTGCAGCACGTTTGCAGTCTCCCAATTTGGACTCCAATGAATAAGATGAGGTCGTACCCATGACCACAGATTCGATAATCTCTTCGTCTTCGACGAGGATTGTTAAAATGCCGCTGTTTGGTTTCTCGCCGGCGGCGGCAGCGTCGAACAGGAGAAATTTACAACCAAGAAGAAAAAAGAAGGAAAAGTGCATCTTTTTTATGGGGAACGATATAATAAATATGTAAACATTACCTGTAGAACAAAAAACATGGCCAAAAGCAAAATATGATAGAATGAAAGAGAAAATTTGACGTCATACAAAAAAGAAAAAAATTTTAGAAGGAAGAGGAAAACATAGGGAGAGAGGGATAAAAGTACCTATATCTTGAGGAAATTGAGATCCTCTTGTTTACTCATACCTTCAACTGAGAAGAGGAAGAAGAAGTGAAATGGGTCTCAGGAGAAGTAAGATGAACAGAGTGCTTCAGAAAACTAAGAGGCTAAAGTAGTGAAGAAGAAGAAAGAAAAAAACAAAGGAAAAGCCTAAAAACTAAGAGGCTAAAGAAATGAAGAAAAAGAAGAAGAAGAAAGAAGAAGAAGAAGAAATGAAATGAGTTAACAGTTTTGGGTTTTGAACAAATATTTGTCACTGTGTTGTGTTGGAAACCTAAATAGGGGCTGAAACACAAGTGGATGTTGTATTGTGGGTTTTGTCACCCAAAAAATAATAAGGAGGGCTGGTCACATCCTCTTTTTTTTGGGGGGTGGGGGTGGGGTCACTTTTGAAATCCAACAAGCTAGCAGGCAGTAAATAACATAAAAGCAAATTGGATGTCACCTTTATAATTGTTAAGCTCATTTAATACTCATCACCCCCTTTCAATAATTAATTCAGAAACTTTTGAGTCAACTTTTGAGGGGGCCCCCTGATTTGCATTGGGATCCTCTCTTCATTCATTTCTCTCTATCTCTCTCCTCTCTTATAGAGTGCCCAAGGGCACTCTATAGAAAAACCGTTATTTATTTTATTTTTTTCTCTTTTTTTTTGGGATAACGTTCCGTGACTCAAATGTGAACGTACGTAACTGCGGTTATTTCAAGTCATTAATTGCGTTCAAACTCTAACAAAATTACAGTTGAATCCTGATGCTTCTTTGTGCAATGATTGCCATACTTGTTAATAATTAGGAGTAAAATAAGATTTCAAAAGGTAAAATCTTCGTACAATTCAAGAGTTAGTTAATATGATATCAACGTTTGAGAAACTGTCTTTTTTTTTTTGTTAAAGAGAAACTTGTCCTTTATAAGGTGCATGTGACAAATTATATAGAATAAGAATATATGAACGCAAAGCCAGGAATTCATAAAGAAGTTATCGCTATTTCCCCCCTCAAATTTAATATATTCAGAATATTTAATGAGATTCGAAAGATATTTAACAAATTACAATTACAATTGACCTCTATATGTCTTTTATGTTTGAAGTCACACGTTGCTTTCAATGTAAACTTATGCATCTTTTTTACTTTTTTTTTCAAAATTGATGAAAGCACTTTGATGAGTTGTAAACTGGATTATTTAACTTAATGAGTCCTTCAGTCATTCTTTTTAGGTTTGACCCATTAAGAGTTAATAGGTCACAACTCACTATTCAAATGATTTCGGGGTATTATTTTACTTCGTAAGTCCACATGTACTCATTAATTATACGATTTAAGGTGGTGTCACTTGACACCACCCTCTACCTGCCCCTGCATGAACATGATCCAGTGGAAAATGAACCTCTCCATAAGAAGTCTCTACAAAGCCTCTCTGCTTATTGGATAACTTTTTTAGGCAATAAGAAGATAGTTGAGCAATAGTTATTAAGACCAAGGAGCACCGACTTAATGAGTTGAGACCCCCCCTGCATATGATAAGAAGTTATTCATCAATCCATTCAATTTGCTAGTGACTTTCTCGATCAGAGAAATGGAATCGAGATAAGATGGAGATTTAGATGTTGAAGGGATACCCAAAAAAAAAAAGGAAAAAGACATTGTAATAAAGATTCTTACTTGACTACAAATCTTCTAATATTTTTGAGCTACAAGTAATTAAAAATATGGTCTCTTTTTGTATATTAATATTAAAATTGATGAATCACTAAGAACGCTACATTTTTTCTTTGATAATAAAACATAGTTTGTTCACCGCTATTCTTATAATAATATTTTTGTTATAGTCTTCTTTAATTGTAACTTTGCCTTTTTTTTTAAGTAAACTACTAGGATTTAATTAACTAAAATTTTTTAATTATTAAATTTCTATACGAACTTTTTTTTGAAAGAAAATAAATTAATAACAATAAAATACGAGACAAACCGATGGGGAAAAAAATCAACCCCAATTATACTAGGCCTGTTCGGTTTGAGAAAAAAACCACATTGCTTATAATGTTTTTTTAATTTATTTATCTCTTAGAAACCAAGAAGGAGAGTAATGTGCAACTCTTCCATTGGCCGCTTTGATCTTAATTTTAGGAAATTTATTTCCAAACTTTTTAATAGAAAATCACTTAAATTCTTTAATTTCTTTGTTAGATTTTCTCTTTTTGAGGTTAACCAACCGAACAGCCCCAAAACGAAGTCTGAGGACATATCCGTCAACATTCAAAGAATCTTCTCACGCAGACCCCACGAGGAAAGGCACTCCGGTGGCGGCAGAGCACTCGATCGAGATCCAGGTCCTGATCATAAAATTACGATTTCCACCCTAAACTTCTTAAATATTCCTATACTGACCCCAAATCCTCCGACCCCTTCAACGGCCGAGATCGAACTACGTTGACCGAAGCACCGACCCGTTAGAAGCGTGCGGGGCACGCGTTCTCCGTTTCTTTCAGCGTGCAAAATTGACTTCGATGCTATCGTCACCTTCAGGGGTTTTTTCATAATTTTACCGAAAGGTTAATGAAGATACGCCTCTTTTCGGTGGAACCCACGTGTCCGCGTCTCTGCCAGTCATCGCGTACACGCCAGCAGAGGGTTACTGGGATGTGTCGGTCTCTGGCTTGCTCGGGTATGGACGGATCGGATCCGGTTGCCCGATAAGGAAGCAACTCGAACTTCGCTTTTGTTCAGACGAGTTCAGATTTCGGATCCAAATCTAACCTTACCCGCTTACCAACCAAAAACCACCGGATATCGCCCGTTACCCAACCGAAACTTCCCGATGTATAAATATGCGGCCATGACATTTTTTCTTCTAATTTGCCCATTTTGCAACTCAAACACCAAATAAATCCATAATTACACCGTTCCCTCAACAAACCCTAGAAAATCCCATCAAACCCTAATTTCTTCTCCCAATCTCGAACCAGATCGCATCCAACTCAACAATTTCCCAAAATTTCGCAGATTTGCAATATCATCGCTTCTCTCTCTTTCGATCGGCACAGTTTAAGAGATGGTGGCGGGAGCGGAGGTGATTCATCAGGGCATCCCGGTGCTCGACGTGAAGTATCGATGCATCGCTAAGGGGATCGAAGAGATTGTCGATATCGCGGCGGTGCGACGCCGCCTCCCTCGCCGGCGATTCGACGTGTTGCCGCTGACGCTAAGATTGAGTTGAGTCCTTTTTCTTTGTCATGTTCTAGAGATTTTTATTGTCTGAATTATGAAGTATAATAATTTTTCTGTGTGGATCTCTTTCCTACCATCATCAATGTGCCCAATTCAATTTATGTGTAGGGCACCTCATCTTTATCCTGAAACTTTTGTTTCTCGCCGCCGCCTCCCTCCCCGGCGATTCGACATGTTGCCGTTGACGCCGGTGCTGCTTCTAAGCTGGTGAGCCTGTGACCTGATATTTATTTTTTCTGATTTGATGCGTTGTTTGTTTGAATTGGATGGTGATCTGATTGTATTTGTAGATTGCTCCCTCAAAGTTAGGGTTTTTAGTTTTGTTTCCCCTTTTTAAGGAAAGATTGGTAGGTTTGCATCTCCTTGTTAGGGAATTCAGGGATTGTTTCCCCCCTTGTTGATGAGGGAAGTTACAAGGAATTTTTGTGTAGTGCTTTTATTTTATGGGGAACTGTTTAATTCGTTTTCTGTTGTTGTTTTCTTGTTTAGCAGAGGAAAAAGGTGAAATTTTCGTTGTTGATCGTAAGAAACACACAAAAGGTCCTTTTGGTCTGAAAAGTATGGATTTTGGAATTTAGAAATTATTCTTCTACTCGGAATTTTTTTTGCTACTGTTGAATCAGCTTTCTGTTAAAGAAAAATGATTATATTTAATTAAATGCTTACTATTATACCTGTCATCAATAAATAAAGTGAGCCTGGTTGTTAATTTTGACTTGCTCTGTTATAGATCAATATTGTTAAGTTCTTTTCTTTTGGATGTGTCATATAGTGTTCAGTTGCTATATACAGAAGAAATATAATCACAATGTGAAAAATATGCTCAGAACTTTGAGTTATAATGCTAGCATTTATGTCTTTATCACCTTATTGATGAGTTTGTATATTTGTGGCATTAACCCCTTTGCACAATAGCTATTATTTCATGTAGAACCTAATATGCATTTCTACATGATTAGGAAAACCTATTTTTTCGGGTAAGATTCTGACCCTTTAATGGTTTGTTTTTCTCTTGCAGGAATTGAGAGCCTCAGATGCCACTACAGATGTTTCAGTGGAGCCTGAAGTCTTCCAGTTCATGCCGAGCATCCGGTCTGGTAGCTTTGCGGACATTGGTCCTCGGAGATACATGGAAGATGAGCACATTTGCATCGATGACCTCTCTTCTCATCTTGGCTCTCTCATCACATGCCCAACACCCAGTGCCTTCTATGGGGTAATTAATCACCATCTGATACCAATATTTATCTCCAGTGGCATCTATTTCTGTGGTCAGTAGCTGATTCTATCATATTGTACAGATTTTCGATGGCCATGGAGGTCCAGATGCAGCAGCTTACATCAAAAGACATGCTATTAGGTTCTTCTTTGAAGATCCTGACTTCCCACAAGCGTCGGAAGCAGATAATATTTATGTAGAATCAGTTGAGAGCTCTATTCGGAAGGCATTCCTCCTTGCTGATCTTGCTTTGGCTGATGACTGCAACATTAGCACTTCATCTGGGACTACAGCACTTGCAGCATTGGTTTTTGGAAGGTATAGTAAGTATAAAATCTGTTTATAGGTTACTTGCAGATATTCTTCAATATGTTGAAAATGGTATTGAAATGGTCCTGTGTTTGTCACACGAACGATTTATCAGTTCTTACTGTTTAGTTTCAGGCAGTACATGAAAATTTAATTTCATCATCTATCATTGACTTCTCAAAACTACTTGGATAATCCAAATTTCATTAATTACACAGGCTATAATTCCAATGTACCATGTCATCTAATATCTTTTGATAAAGTTTCTAAATCTTGTTCTATGCCATCGTAAACAATTCTTTTCTCACCTGGCTTTTGCTGTTGCACTTGCCTTGTCCTTTGTTTTATTACATTTTATTCTAACTTTCCTGTGCTAGGTTTACTTATATTTGTTTACTTTGTATGTCATTCAGGCTTCTACTTGTAGCGAATGCTGGGGATTGTCGAGCAGTTCTATGTCGGAAAGGTGTAGCAGTCGAGATGTCACAAGACCACAGGCCTATCTACGCCCCAGAGCGACAAAGGGTAGAGTCTTCTGGTGGCTATGTTGATGATGGGTATCTAAACGGAGTCCTGTCAGTGAGCCGAGCACTGGGTGACTGGGACATGAAACTTCCCCGAGGTTCTCCTTCTCCCCTCATTGCGGAGCCTGAGTTCAGGCAGGCAGTCTTAACAGAGGATGATGAGTTCCTGATCATTGGATGCGATGGCATTTGGGATGTTATGACAAGCCAGCACGCTGTAAGCATTGTGCGAAGGGGATTGAGGAGGCATGACAATCCTGAACAATGTGCGAGGGAGCTAGTGATGGAGGCGTTGAGGCTTAACACCTTTGATAACCTCACAGTGATTGTGGTCTGCTTCTCTTCAGAGAGCAGGGACGAGCCAGAGCAGAGACTGAGGTGCTGTAGCTTGTCGACTGAGGCCTTGTGTAACTTGAAGAGCTGGTTGGATGATGGGGGGAACTAAAAGTTGCAGATTGTTGGATGTAAATGTAGTAGGGAGATGATGATGATGATGATGATCGAGGAGTGTTCTATGTGATGAGTTATAGACTGGTGATTCTATGGCTGATTATTTAACCGGCTGCCAGCAGTTTTGTATGGTTCTGTATTGGGTTTGTTGGAGAGTTTGTATATATCAGGGAAGTGGGAAGTGGAGGTGCTGGTGTATTATTATTATTACCGTTATTGTTGTGATTCATTGTCTTTGAGCTGAGCAGTATATACTCGATGCGCATTCATCTCCTTTATTTATTTATACTGGCGCCTTTAGTTGTTTGTTTTTGAAGTAAAATGTTCAGTTGTAAATTCTTACATACAATGTTTTGGTGAAGGAATGTGTGGTTCATCCAATCTGTTAAAACCGCGATTACAGGATATTGCGGTTGTAATTGCAGGTAGTTTTCTTGTTATAGCTGTTGTCGCAAATTGCCTGTAAAATTACGTGTTTGTTTAACCTCACAGACGAAAATAATATAGTTGGTGCAATTTTGCTGTTTCTGCAAACCAGAATATAACTTGGGACAGATTGGATCGTCTAGTTCTAATGACTAGGATTCGAAGCAGTTGATGTCATGTTGTTTGGTGGTAAGAAATATTCAACGTGAGTAGCTTATTCTGGACTTTGGCCAAGTGCGAACTTGAGAAGAAAATAATCTGCTAGCTACTTTGACCATTGCAACTCGCAGGCCACTTGCATGCTTTGATGCACAAATTTGCATACAGTATTTGGAAGCAGGTAGTGGGTTGACTTTTGCTTTACAAGTTTTGAAAATACAAATTTTATACACCTTTTGACTTTATGAAATCAAGCTTTGCTTTGGGAGAAAGATTGGATAATCAAATCATTGGGTTTCTTGATCTGCAAGTCTCATGTTCATGTTTCTCAAGTTTTGCCCGTACAGTAAAAAGAGAAAGCAAGCAGATAAAGGAAGGGAAAGAATGGGGGCAGAAAGTAATCGTGATATTCTTGTCGTCTACGTTTTCTTCTTTCTTTCGCTTCTAAGTTGAGCACAGCTTGTTAACATAAACCGAAAGAATATGAAAGTGACCGGAGCTATAGAAACCCCAACTCACAAATACCCTGCTGGCATGTTCGACTGAAGTCCCAGAAGCAGAAGTTTAGGACTACATAAGTCAAGAATTTGAGTAAACAATCTCGAACATTTTAGCGGAAATAAATAAAAATTAACAAAATGTGGAGGAAAAGTATTCTTCTATGAAGATCTCAACGCTTCGGTGTCTCGAAATCCTACCAAAATTTAGGGCGGTTTTGTGAAATTTACCCTTCAATTAGATGAAGGATACTATTTAGCTTAAACTTCACGATACAAAATAACGCAAATAACTTAAATATTTTTAAATTTAATTAACGAAGAAAGGAACACTAAATATGTGCCTAAGGTAGCTAAGAATACATAATTGGAAACAATTAAAAGTCATTACAATCACAATGTTTTTAATTAACGGATGATATAATCCTTAGAAAAGTAGAACAGAAGAATAAAATTAATGTAGCCGACGCTACAAAATTTAGAGTAACCTTTGAATGCGTAAATATAAAATAAACTTAGAAGATCAAGATGAATGCGTTTATCATCTCACTATTAGGGCCCGTTTGGTTGCTGAAAAAAGGAGTTGACATGGGCAAAAAGCCTGCCAAAACTGACAAAAAATGTCAGTTTTGACAGGCTTTCTAGCAAAAACACCCCCAAAAATGGCGTTTTTACAAGAAAGCTTACCAAAACTGATAGTTTTTGTCAATTTTGACAGGCTTTCCCAAGCCCTCTTCAGCAACCAAACGGGCCCTTAGTAAAAGAAGAGACTTTTTACCGATGTAAAAATTTCCACTCTGGTCCTTCTCTATAAACAAATGCTGATGTCTTCTCTATACACATGCCAAAGTTTAACTAAGCAAGCTACATTTGAAGATTTCAAACCCATTTGCAAAATACAAATAGGACATACAAGTGTCGTTCACCATGTTGCATAAGTGCCAGTTCTCTCCACAACTCCAGTACTTAAAAAGACTTCCACTACTACAGGCGTATTTGACGACTCACCTCGACATTTTGGAATTCTCTTACAGAGTGATGGAGGTGTCTTTTTGGAGTTCTCTTACTGTGAGTGATGGAGATGTGAAGTACGATCATATCGTCAATGCAAAATTGCAGTTAACCACCACTCTGCATAGAGAATTGAGGCAAGCGGCCTAGTGGCATCATAAGATCTCTCATGGTTTCATACTCTTCAATGCTCACCCGAGCGGCATTCAGAACCTGTGTACATGGTCAAAACAAGCACCCAAATTAACCGGCTGCATAAGCTTAAAACATGATCTCAAACAAACACAAAAAGGAATCCACAACAAGAGATCAAAACATAAAAAGTACCAAATAAAAACTGTACGAAATTGTGCCCAAGAACCACAATTCTACTATAATTACGTCAACTTCAATTTCAGTTGACAGCTGATTCTCGGCATTATGAATAATGCTCCACGACCTGAATCCAATAGCATGTTAACTACCAACAAATTACACAATTTAGGTTTACTATGCTTTTTTTTTTAAAATATTCACAGCACTGTTTTCAACTAAGGGGGTGTTTGACAATCTGAAAGTGAATTTAAAATATGTAAGTTACTTTTTTTTACAAATGACTTTTACATCCATGTCAGCACGCAAGTGAAATACAGTGTTTGTTTGAAAAATTATATTATTATCGAAAGTGTAATGTGAAGATGACGTGGCAAAATAAGATTAATTAGAAAGTATAATTAAAATTATTTAATTAAATTAGTTACCTTTTTGTCACTTTCATGTGACTTCACCACTTTTTTAGGGAAAGTCAAAATTGCATTAAATCATATGTGGCAACTTTCTTGTATCTCAATTTCATAACCATTTACATGAAAACAAACACCTTAATTGTTAAATGAAAGTAACTTTTCACTTTCATCTTTCACTTGCATGCAAACAAACACCCCCTAAGGGGCTGTTTGTTTGCTAAAAAAAGAGGGAAATCAAAGAATAGGAAACTTATTTCTAAGAAAAATTGTTTCGAGATTGTTTGGTTGGCTAAAAAAAGAAGAAAATCAAAGAATGAGAGATGAGTTGTCACATTATTGGATGATGTGGGTGATTTTTTAAGAAAAAATGTTTTCAAGTTGTTTGGTTGGCTAAAAAAATAAGGAAATAAATTATAAGAAACCTATTTCCTGTAATAGGTTCTTTTCTTGTGTTTGGTTCATTCATAAAAATAAAAAAATAGATGAGATGAGATGAGTTATCATTATATTATTGGATGATGCGTCTCACACTTAAGGAAATCGATTTCCTAGCTTTTTTGGAGGAAATTCGTGGAAATGAAATGTTAATGAGATGAGCTGAGTTGTCACCATATTATTAGATGATGTGAGTGATTTTTAAAGATGAGATGCGATGGAGATGAGATGAGTTGGATGATGTGACCCATTTTTTGTGTTTAGTTTATTTTTAAGAGATGATATGAGATGAGTTGTGGGATAAAAAATAATATTTTATTGGATGTTATGGTGAATTTTAGGGATGAAAATGGATGAAAATAATATTTTATTGATTTCCATGTACCCTTTTCCTTTTCTTGATTTTTAGGAAACCAACCAAACAGCCCCTAAGAAAAAAAACACAAATCTGAGGACCTTTTCTTAAGTCTTATTTTCCCAGAGTGATCATTACCAATTAAATGATTACCTTGCTGAAAAGCGGGTACATTTTAATTATCTTTTTTTCCCCCTCAGAACTCTCCCCATATTTTGGGAGTTTTCTGTTTCCTGTCTCGGTGTTCCCACAAACATCAGGAAAACTACTGGAAGGAAAAACAAGGTCTCAACTCAGGGTTCCAAAAAATACGGAAGTTGTACATTACATCAGGGAGTACTGTCAGTTTGTCCACGAAATACAATGATATAAACCGGACATATTATATTGTAAAATGAAGAATAAAAACTAAAGTTTCCTACGCGTGCATGGGGCAAGGCGCAAGGTGAGTCATCAGCACAATTGTACAGTTCTTAACAACATAATTAAAATTGAGATTAATCAAATTGATTGTGTTGCATCATTACAACATGATAATTATTAATATTTAATTTAAGGAAACACTTTAGTCATGTCGAAAATTTTCTTTCTAGAATATAGTCTGAGAAATTCTAATCTATATAACATAACTTCTCAACCGATGTTCCGGATAGAACTGTTGAGAGAGGAAAAAGAGGAAAAAAAAAAGAACAATAGTAAGGCAAAGTAAAGAAAAGGAAGTAGACTTTAGCTAGGAGAATATGAGGATGAAAGGCAATAAAATGGAAGGAGATGAGGTAAAACAACATCACAGTGAAAAGGGAAAAGAAAAGGAATCATAGTGAATATGAAGAGGAAGATAAGGAAAAAAAATATGGATAAGCTAATAAAAAGCAAAAGAATGAAGATAAGATAAGCAGAAACCACAATACTAGTCACTGTGTCTAAACAATGCCTTGTAGCTTTACAACTGTAATATCCCTAATTTCCTAGTGATAATAAGTCAGTTATTATTATTTTTTTGTTTAAATAAATATCCAAACAATTGAATTAACAATATTAATTTATAAATATAAGTTGTGTAAGAGGGCTTTTATGCAAAGGAAGAATAATAGCTATGATGGCATATTTTTGCTTATTAAGGAGTTTGTTGCAATTAGAGTTTGTCAAGGGGTTTATTTGAAAGTGGAAAACTAATATAAGAGAATGAAACCCTAGTCGGAGATTTTGATATCCGCAGCCGTTTTCCTTTTTTTCCCGTCCCTGTCTAGCCGCACCAAAAAAAAAAGAGAGAGAAGGAAGAACCAACAAAGGAAATATATATATATTTGTCCTGAAGTTTAGCAATTTCATAGAAGTGCTTAGTCATTTTTGGCTTCAAGTTATAATCTGCAGTCTCTCGAGATCCTAATAATTTTTCAGCACTATTTGGGTAATCATTTTTTCTTGAGTATGTTGTTATTTCATCATCTTGAGGAATAGTAGTGACTTAATTCATTGCTTCTTGCTTAACTGTGGCCATGGAAGATAAATGAAGGTTTTGTGAGGCATGTGTTGATCTAGTTCTTTAAAACAGTAAATGAAAAGAAAAGTTATGGTCGGCAACGAACTAGGTGCATTCGTAGATATGAGATCTAAATAAAAGGATTTATCAATTGTTTAAAAGATGAATCAAGGTCTACTATCTTTTAATATATTGTTATTTATTTCTTGCTAAGCATGTAATTGTGAGATGAGGGATATTGATTATCATTTATATCTGTTCCTCTAGGAATTTCTAGAGCTCTGCAAAACATTGTGAGTTAATTTTGGATGTCGCTTCGCTTGAGGTAAGTGGTGAATTTATGCATTGTACGCTGCATATTTTTTTTATATAATTATATCAAGTATACTTTGATTTGTTCATGATGGATTATATCCTTCGTATGAATTATTGGTATATCATTTGTTGATTGGTTTGATTTTGTGATGTTCATGATATTTTGGTATAAGCCTATGCTTATTTTCTTTGTCAATTATTATGTCTTTTCATATAGTAGTATGTTGAGATGCATATGTGGTTGATTGATTTCACTATTGGTTGACCTTTGGCATTTTTGTATAACATACTTGATTATATGAACTTTGTTCATTTTTCTTGTTTAAACATATGCATCTCAAGTTAATATACCGGTATATGTCGGATATAAGCAAGTTATTAAAACAGGGCTCAATGTGCTTCTATGAGGTTTCTATTTTAGTGCTAAGAGCCCAAATTTGGGTCTCACCATCCAGGAACCACGGGCTTAATAATTGAGGTTTCTATTTTAGTGCTAAGAGCCCAAATTTGGGTCTCACCATCCAGGAACCACGGGCTTAATAATTGTGGGGTTTACCAAGTCAACCGGAGTATGAAGTGTTGACCGCATTGAGACGTAGCCTGCTTATTTCCATTTCATGATTTCTAAATTTTCTTAAATATTCGCATCAAGTACTAGAGTTCATTGATGATTCTCTATCATTCTTATATTTTGTTTATCTTGTCGAAATATTTAGTTTTGCAAAACCAGTGTTTAATGTATGAATTTATCCACTCATTGAGTTGTGAACTCGTTGTGTTATATTCATTCGTTTTAGGGACTCGGGATTAAGTGGAGTTAGTGGTTCATGAGTTCTTAGAATGGAGCAGAGAATAAAATTCGGGATTGTTATTATCTTCTAGGTGAAGGTTAAATAAAGTCTTCGATTTTTAGTTGATAAATTAAGAGTTTTGTAATTATGAGACTTCTTTCCTTTAAGTCAAGTTTTATATCAAGTTGAGGAATATTTGTTTTTATCAAGTTAATTAGATTAATGTTGACTTTTGGAAATTATAGAGAATATTTATTATTGGTTTTAGTTCAATGAAGAGATTATTCTGATGATCTTTCAATGAATGTATATTTTTGAAGGATTTTTCACAGATTTAGTCCGGCTCCAATATTCTTTTAGGTTTAGAATTTGGGGTCGCGACAGAATGGTATCAGAGCTTAGGCTGTAGGTCCTAATTGATGTTAGAAATGGTCAAGAAATGAAAGAAAAATATACTAGATTTTGATGCATGGAAATGAAAGTTGATGTTTTATTTTGAAGTCTGATCGAGGACAATATGAATATTATTGGATCAAATTAAGATATAGAGGTATATGATTTTAGATTCATTGATTACATACTACCTTTTTGTTTAGTTTTCCTAGAGATAAAGGAATTAGTTCTGCTTAGTTGGAGGTATGTTTGACATATGTGACTCATGAAAATATTATCTGATAATATATACTATTATGATAAAGAATATGCCAGGGATTAGTTATTGATGATTTTTTATGAGTAAACTTTCATGCTAAATGTATTTGTTTTTCGTAATGTTAGGTGGTGATGGCATTTGATGTGAAAGGTAATCAATTTGAGTTTTATAAGGAAAAAAAATTAATGGTTTATTCCGAGATATGATTATGAATTGTGCTCTAAATTATTTGATCAAATTATTATATACCTTCTACCTGTAGAATCAAAATTAGAAATTTGGAGCTATATACTTCAGAAATGTTGGATGTATGGGTGTCTCTAGTTTTGACTTTTGTTGGAATTACATGTTCATTTGTGGGTGGCATAAGGCATGGCGAAATATGTGGCTATGAATATATATTAGTATTTGGACTTGAATTCATTTGGAGAATGGACTAAAATGAAGGATAAATTATTTGAATGCAAAGTAACTTGACGATAGTAGATAACCGATCTAGTGTTATGATATAACATCTATCAGAACTATAGTTGCAATACTGCTTAACTCAGTTAAAATGAAAGTGAATATTTTGTGGTGCTAAAGCCATTTATCCTGATGATGATTATATCTAGATTGACAAATGTACTGATTGCCTTCATGGACTTGACGAGTTAACATTCAAGCTTTATCTAAATCTATTTATAGAGTTGTTATTGATGATGTATTAAATTACTTCAATAGTTAAGAAAAGTATGAAGGACACTCAAGAATTATTTGGTAGAGGACAAATTATCTGTACGATTGAAGAAGGGTGAGTTTTGGTTGAAGAGTATTCTTCTAGTTTTTGATGTATACATTAAATTATAGTGTACAAGTATGAATATCAGATCACTTGGATTTATAGTTAGATGTTGAAATCCAATATTACAGTATATATATTCCTTCCTAGTTGGATCAGTCACTAGCTTCACTACCTACTTTTCTCCCCAATAGAGTATGTAACAATGCTGCCAATGGTTCGGCTATAGTCTAATGTATATCATTTGGTTTTATTGGATACATTATTCACCACATAGAAATCCTTATAAATTTTATGAAGTTGTGCCTTTAATCCTAGTAGCTTGTAATATCCTGATGTATATTTCAAAGATAAGTTATTTTAGTGGGGAAATAAAAGTGAGTAGAAGATGTTTAATAATTAGTTCGTAGTCATACCAAATTTCATATTTTCTTTTGGTTGAATGCATTCATATAAAGATGCTTCTCTTGTTGATAATAGATGTGTTATTATGTCCAAAAAATAAGAGAAAACGACAATCAAGAAGATAGCTTATGTCTTGTGACCAGATTTACCCACATAAATAGGAGTTTGCCATCTTGATTTTATTAGAGATTTGGAGACATTACCAATATGAGAAGATATAGAAAAAAAAAACATGTCTAACATGTATATGTTACCATGAAGGAGAGAAATATGATGGAAAGAAACCGGTTAGAGTTGTGACTTTAATATCTATTATTATCATGCAAACACGAATGGGCTGGTTGAGGTCTTAGTTAGAAAGTCATCTTAAGAGTTACTATTTTGATCGCTAAGTGTATATATATATTGGAGAACTTGAGGAAGGTTGATATTAAATTCGAAATGGTGGACCAATAACTTATTTTAAGATTCAGTTTACTTTAATGGAGTGTTATGGTCACAAAGTGAAACTATCTTTTGCTGGGAAAAATAATCAAGTAATAGATAGAAGAGTTCTTCAGTATGACTATGTTGTTAGTAATGGATTTTGAGATTATGATGAATTCCTTAATGATCTAAATTTGAAGAGAAAAGTATCGGGACTGGCACATTTTTCTGTATGTATTCTATCCTATAAGTACATAGATGTATAGAAACTTGTAAGAAACATTATGATAACTTAAATTTATATTTGCAGAGTTTATGTCTTAGTTTTGATCTAACGAAATGAGAATTCTGAGCACTAGAAACTTGTTCGATCCAGTCTCTTCCATTTTTTTTATTTGGAGAATGAATAGATAACCACGGATTTTGTAGATGGGCTTCCTAATTCCTAGAGCTAGAATAGTAATGTAAATATATATGGCTATTGCGATTAATGAATATTTGAGGTTCCGTTCCAATTTTTAGAGAATTTGATTAATCCTTTTACTAAGGTTTTGTAGAAAATGGCAAGTTGAGTTTGAGATATATTGGACCTTTTGAGATTTTGGAGAAAGTTGGAGCTGTAGTATACATAATTACATTGCCTCCGGAGTTGGCTAAAATTCATTATGTTTTCTATGTATCAATGTTGAGGAAGTGTGTACGTGAGCCGAGTCACGTATTGAATTATGAGCCTCTTGGGATCATGGAAGATTTGACATATTCAGATTATCCAATTAAAATTTTGGACCGAAAGGAGCAAGCTTTGAGGTCAAGAATTGTTAAGCTAGTGAAGGTTTTATGGAAAAATCATTCAACTGAGGAAGCTACCTGGGAGCACGAAGATGAGATGCGGGAAAAATATCCTAATTTATTTGAAGACCTAGATATGTCCAAGTTTTGAGGACAAAACTTCTTTTGAAGGGTAAAAGTATGCAATATCCCTAATTTCCTAGTGACAATAAGTCTAAGTTATTATTATTTTTTGTTTAAATAAATATCCAAACAATTGAGTTAACAATATTAATTTATAAATATAAGTTGTGTAAGAGGGCTTTTATGCAAAGGAAGAATAATAGCTATGATGGCATATTTTTGCTTATTAAGGAGTTTGTTGCAATTAGAGTTTGTCAAGGGGTTTATTTGAAAGTGGAAAACTAATATAAAAGAATGAAACCCTAGTCGGAGATTTTGATATCCGCAGCCGTTTTCCTTTTTTTCCCGTCCCTGTCTAGCCGCACCAAAAAAAAAGAGAGAGAAGGAAGAACCAACAAAGGAAATATATATATATATTTGTCCTGAAGTTTAGCAATTTCATAGAAGTGCTTAGTCGTTTTTGGCTTCAAGTTATAATCTGCAGTCTCTCGAGATCCTAATAATTTTTCAGCACTATTTGGGTAATCATTTTTTCTTGAGTATGTTGTTATTTCATCATCTCGAGGAATAGTAGTGACTTAATTCATTGCTTCTTGCTTAACTGTGGCCATGGAAGATAAATGAAGGTTTTGTGAGGCATGTGTTGATCTAGTTCTTTAAAACAGTAAATGAAAAGAAAAGTTATGGTCGGCAACGAACTAGGTGCATTCGTAGATATGAGATCTAAATAAAAGGATTTATCAATTGTTTAAAAGATGAATCAAGGTCTACTATCTTTTAATATATTGTTATTTATTTCTTGCTAAGCATGTAATTGTGAGATGAGGGATATTGATTATCATTTATATCTGTTCCTCTAGGAATTTCTAGAGCTCTGCAAAACATTGTGAGTTAATTTTGGATGTCGCTTCGCTTGAGGTAAGTGGTGAATTTATGCATTGTACGCTGCATATTTTTTTTATATAATTATATCAAGTATACTTTGATTTGTTCATGATGGATTATATCCTTCGTATGAATTATTGGTATATCATTTGTTGATTGGTTTGATTTTGTGATGTTCATGATATTTTGGTATAAGCCTATGCTTATTTTCTTTGTCAATTATTATATCTTTTCATATAGTAGTATGTTGAGATGCATATGTGGTTGATTGATTTCACTATTGGTTGACCTTTGGCATTTTTGTATAACATACTTGATTATATGAACTTTGTTCATTTTTCTTGTTTAAACATATGCATCTCAAGTTAATATACCGGTATATGTCGGATATAAGCAAGTTATTAAAACAGGTCTCAATGTGCTTCTATAAGGTTTCTATTTTAGTGCTAAGAGCCCAAATTTGGGTCTCACCATCCAGGAACCACGGGCTTAATAATTGTGGGGTTTACCAAGTCAACCGGAGTATGAAGTGTTGACCGCATTGAGACGTAGCCTGCTTATTTCCATTTCATGATTTCTAAATTTTCTTAAATATTCGCATCAAGTACTAGAGTTCATTGATGATTCTCTATCAATCTTATATTTTGTTTCTCTTGTCGAAATATTTTAGTTTTGCAAAACCAGTGTTTAATGTATGAATTTATCCACTTATTGAGTTGTGAACTCATTGTGTTAAACAAAGTCTTCAATTTTTAGTTGATAAATTGAGAGTTTTGTAATTATGAGACTTCTTTCCTTTAAAGTCAAGTTTTATATCAAGTTGAGGAATGTTTGTTTTTATCAAGTTAATTGGATTAATGTTGACTTTTGGGAATTATAGAGAATATTTATTATTGGTTTCAGTTCAATGAAGAGATTATTCTGATGATCTTTTAATGAATGTATATTTTTGGAGGATTTTTCACAGATTTAGTCCGGCTCTAATATTCTTTTAGGTTTAGAATTTGGGGTCGTGACAACAACAATCATCGCAGTTGTAACAACAATAAGAAAGCACGGGAAGAAAAAAAAGAGAAAGGTGGAGGCAAGAGAGCAGGGGAAAGAGGAGAGTGGGAGAAGACAAAGCAATGACATATGCATGAGAAAGAGAAAAGATTCAAAAGAATGTCCCACATCGACGCACAATATACAAGGCGCATCGAGGAGGCGTACATGATTCTCCCGCATGAGCACCTCGCTTGCTCCCAGCACCAGCACCTCATGCAGCAGCACCCCAAAGTTCCCAGTACTTGAGCTGATCACCTCAGTGCACAACACTATTATTAAACATTAAACAACTAGAATAGCGATCACCTCAGTGCATCTGTTGAGTCTGTGACTACGCTATTATTAAACAGCTAGAATAGAACTTCTATGTAAACTTAATGCATAAGAAGAACACGTTTAATGTAATAATGCATCCTTTGATCTCTCCTTTTCTATCCACTATAGATGAGCATATTAAAAGCAACATAACAAAACCAATAAAAATACCTCTTTGAAAGGCACCACTAAATCTCATAATTAGTCTCAACATGAGGAACTGTCCTGCTTGCTATATGGCCTTCAAATAGTTTTTCAGAATAAAATGGTTTGCGAGACAGTGATGACAAACTCGATTTTGCTTCCTATTTCTATATTTCTGACATAGCTGAAGGCCAAACCTCATTGATCATCTCAGGTAGCACAACAACAGAAAATCAAAACATGGCTCTCTACTTAAACTAGTAAATTAGATCTCCACAGTATCTCAGACTGCAAGAAAATGATCCAAAATATAAGAATACAAAAGTCAGAGTGCTCACCGTGTGTAGCAGCAAATTTCTGCTTGTCATCTGAGGAGCAAGAGAAGGAAGTCTATGCACAGAAAGGGCTTCAATAAACAAAAGAACAATCACTTGCCATTGCTTCATTCTGAAGGACGGTAGTGCATCTACAAATGACATTGTGTCGAGCAAGCGAGCCTGAGAAAATAAAAGAAAAGAAAGTGGTATTAAATGCTAAAAGATTAAATCAAGCATGATAAGAAAGTTCATTGACTGCATGCAGTACGTAAATGAGATAAACCAGGAAACAGGCAAAATTAAAAGGAACTCCAGAGCAAAGACTATAACACAGTGCAAAAGTTGACAGCAAGCTTGATCCCATCAGTTTCCGCCTATACCAAGTTTGCATTAGTATCAATCAGAGGTAAAACTACTCCAGAGAGAAAATCATAGAAACATATTTCATTTGGTATGTCAAGATATCTCATGGGCTAATTTACTGAGATGCCTCATTTGGGCACCTGTTTCCGTGTCGAACACTTCCCATATCTTTGTCCGTGTCCGACACCCCTTGGAGACTTCTTGAATATATACATACATGTATTCAGACATGTATTCAATTATATAATAAATGTTTTGGTTTAAAACGCTTGTGATATGCTTCTTGGATGTATATCTTACACTTGACCTCGAATTTCTACTACTTATTGGACTATTTTCAGGTTTGTTTCAATCCATACCCAGTTAATAAGTATGATTTTATAGAATGTTTAGGACTTTTAGTTATCATAACATGTGAATGGAAAAACATTATTGATCTCATATAAATTATTAATTTCAATATGTATATATAGATGTGTCCCTGTAGCCTATCTTTCTACATAATTGATGTGTCCCATATCCGCACCCGCACCCATGCAACATAGCTCTGGGGTTTGTCCTAGCATTTTACCATCATTATAACATGCATCTGGATCCTCTCTTATAGGTCAACCACTGCCTTAATTAGACATGTCTAGGCAGCTGCAATAACTAACTTCCCTGTCATCTAACACTGGCATTATTAATCCTACAAGATACTTTTTTTCCCTTGACCCAGCAATTACCTCCTTAATCAGCTGTCAAAAGCTTGCTAGGGGATGTATAGCTTTTGACTGAATTGGACATGGCCTTCAATGTCAAACCAACATGGAGATTATTAGTCCAATCACTAATTTAAACTATTTTACCAAAGCTAACGTGCATAACAGTGTTGGAGAGTTTGGCCTTCAGTGATGTCGAACAATATATTCATGGCGTTGATTTATCGGGGGCTATGTACCACTATGATATAAAAAATATATACCACTTATAATGCTAAAATTCAATTTTGAACTTCCCATGATCAGACCATGCCAGTAGAGCCCCTCTTTACCATTTCTTGCATGAATTTTCTAGGAGCATGACACTTAGCAGACTTTCTATATCCAATTTGACACGAGAAAATGGCAAGATATATGACTGATTAGTTCAGTTAAAAGCGTAAAAATTTTAACCACAAGTCACACTACTTGAGGTCACTCCTGTCTATCGTGTTGTCTTTTGTGGCCAAGTGCGTTGTCTTTTGTGGCCAAGTGCAAAATCCCACGTAACAACAACAAAACCTTTGCCCCAAGTCTCTGAAGTGGGCCACATGCCTTTTCTTTGTCCAGACCATCACCGTATGCCGTCTCTCTCTATCCAGTTTTTCATCTCCTATGTTAACAGCCATCCTATATTCAGTTACATCTATTCATATATTTCCTTGCCCATGAAGCAAGAATCTTAAGCATTGCCGTTCATAACTAATGCATTTAATAGGCCACATGTTCTAACCATCTGGACAAAGTCAACCATCCCAACTTTGATTTTCCTTTGTTGCTTATACATAAGAGAGCTTTCTTTGGAATAAAATAATAAATATAAACACCCATTAACCATTCTCAAACATGTGACCATTTGGAACTATCCACACAATTGGATGCATCTAGTTATTGTGTTTTGTGGGGTGTAAATGCCTACGAACTAAGCAACACAGAGAAACAACCTATGTTGCTTATACATAAGAGAGCTTTCTTTGGAACAAAACAAAAAATATATATAAGCACCCATTAACCATTCTCAAACATGTGATCATTTGAAACTATTTACACAGTTGGATGCATCTAGTTATGGTGTTTGTGGGATGTAAATGCCTACGATCTAAGCAACGTAGAGAAACAACAAGTATGGATAGGCATGCACTATATGTAAAATCAATACTGCCTTTTTTGTTCATTGCTTTATGTGCATAGCATACATAAATGTGGTCCTGCAACAGCTCATTTATGCACCATATATTGCAATATCAGTTATTGCCTTACACACGATAGTCATCAACAGTGATTGCTATAATTTGTAAAGAAATATGACAATTATATGTTCATTATTGTTAATTACATAGAAAGCCATAAATGTAAATGAATGTGGGGCACAAACAAAAAACAACCAGAAAAATCTTCAACCCTAAAGAAAAACACCAAACATAAAATAGCAAATATCTGAAAAACAACAGGTTAAAACAGCCAAAGAAAAAGTTCACACAAGGGTTAGGCCAATACTAATACTTGCAAATTTTGAGTAATTAGAAAAGAATCGTGAATTTCAATATCCCAATCAATATAAACATTCAACTATGACTGGCTACAGATCGATTTACAAAGGATTTGCTGCTCGCTGTTTACAAGCTAAATACAGTACTCCATACATACCAAAAATTTCTCCAGTGTTGAGACTGGTGTTGGCAATTTTAGATCCATAACAAGCCCAGGCAATGCGCGGCATATGAAACCATCTAGAGCTAGCCTGATTTCAGATGATTTTCCATCTCTAAGGAAAGTTTTTCGTGGGTATTCCCTCCCATTCACAAACAAAAAGTCTTCATGTGAAATTTCATCATGTCCATATATGTAGCATAAAGAAGAACATGTTATCCATCCAAACAGTGCCATCCACATTGTCGCAAATGGTGATAACTGAAAAAAGCAAACAAAGTGTCTAGTAACTAAATAAACAAATCACAGATGAGAAATTAGGCTGATCGATTGCAAGAAATGGAAACATACAGTTAAACTAAAACCCTCAGGTGGTGTGTCATGCCAAGAGTCTTCAACTTCAAACACGTCAGTGTCTAAAAGTACTGTCTTTGTAGGCCACTTCAGAACCCCCTGATCAAATTCACATGCTTCCTCATCTGCCTCGGACTCCCGGTCTTCACAGTACTGTGGTTGGGGCAATATTACAATCCCAGCTTCCGAGACTGAAAACAAATAGAAGACATGCCGAAAAGATTGAAGCAATTGATAAGCAATCTCAACAAGCAAACACAATGTAGAAAGCTACTAGATCATGGTTTCAGAAATTACCTGCATCACCAGCATCAACATCACCTGATGCAGCAGCGCTTGCTGCATGAGATAGTGCAGCAGCACAAGCTTCAGCTGATGCAAGTCTTAAGGAACTATCTAGATCTTCCTCCCGCATGACTTGTGGTGTGTCCTTTTTATCTTCCAACACTTCAAGAATTACCTCATCAGCCCATTTGACAGACCGATTTCCTCCTTTTGATCTTGAAGTCTTCAAAGAGGATTTCAGTTCGTTTTCCTGCGATACATGTTTCTTTTCCATGCTAACTCCTCCAGATAACATTACATCATCTGATTCACCATAGCCTAGTGGCTCTGTCTTATTCTTGACATGAACATTTACCGAATCTTTAGATGAACTATCAAGGGATGATGTAGATGAAGTCCCGGAAGTAACATTAACTAAATCCCCAGTGATTATGGTGCTCTGAAAATCTATTTTGTCATTCTTCCTACCACTTGCAATTTTTCTTGCATTGGAACTTGATGATTTTGATTTTTTAACTTTTTTCTTTTTCTTCTCAGCAAGAACAACCTCCTCCAATTGTTTAGCTATTAGTTCTGAAGCATCTTGGGTAGAAACAACACAGCTTTTTGAAAGAGCTGCATCAAAATCATTGCCAACAATGATACTACTTGTGAAACCCATATCACCATTATCCACTTTGCCAATATTGTGAGCAGCCACATTTGTTTGAAATTTAAGCTTTAATGACTCCAATGACTGTTTGCTTGTATTTTTCTTCTCTGTAATAATCATATCTTCCAACTTCTTCGCAGTTGTCTCTGGAACATCATTTATCATGGCAGAAGAACGCTTCGAAGGATCACCATCACATTCATCTCTAAGACTTGGAGTCATATGGTCCACTTCAGTGCTGCTAGCACTACCCGTCTCTTGTGCAGTTTCTGACTTGGATGGAATGTTAGAACCTGCAATACACAACACAAGCTCGCACCTGTGTTCAGAGGGCAAAAGAATCACATATGAAATAAAAGAATGACATGGAAGCAAACCCGATAGCACTTCAACTACACATTAGCAAATTAAGATAGCACTATTATTTAACATTTCAATCATATATAGATAAGCAGATTAAGATAGCACTATTATTTAACATCGAAACATGTACAGAATGCTTAAATATCTAGCAATATTTACTATCATCAACTGAATATAAACATTCAAGCCATTTACGAGACTTTTACACTCAGTTTTAAAGCTTTACGATTTAACCATTGAACACTTTCTAATTACCCAAAATGAGTTTGACAACAAAAGTGAATCTTTATCTATGATTCCACCTTTGTGTTCTGTTACGAAACATATAATTTCTTTTAGTGAATTAATACCTCGATCAAGATGAGGAATATAACCCTCGATCGCATTGGGTGGCCCAATCCACTCACCCAACTTCAAATCACCGTCCACAGCCCTCTCCTTCTCCTTAATCTCCAGCTTCAACTTCCCCAACCTCTCACCTCTCCTCACCTCCTCCTCATCTTCATCCCCATCAAAACACCCAAACAATCTCAAAACATCCTCGACCTTCTCTCTCCTAACATCAACATCAGCCCTCCTCTCATCACCCAAGCTCCCCTTAAATGCCCTGCTCCCAATCAAGCACTCCTCGCAGCAGTAATTGTAAATCTCTTGGAGATCGTAGACCTTGTGCTCGCTGAGCGCGATGCGGTATCGACCCTTCCGCCGGCGGTCGGACAGAGAAGAGGTCGGAGATTGTGCGCTCGGTGACGATGTCGTCGTAGTCGGGCTTTGAAAGGAGAGTGGAGGCGGCGATGAGGAGGTCGAAGGGGGTTGATGGGGTGTTGAAGAGGTGGAGCTGGAGCTTGTAGATGGCGGATGCGATGGTGATTGGGGGATTGGAGTTAGGGTTAGGGTTTGCCATTGGAGATGGATTAGGGTTTTGAGAGAGTTTGGGGGATTCTGTTGAAATGGAGGGAGGACGAGGACTGGGCATTAAAAGTGGAGGAATGGGTCGGTGGCGTTGTAGTTGGATCCGACCCGCCAGCAATTTTTTTCCTTACTTTTTAATTTTAAATCTTCTTATTTGATTTTTGGGAAAAATGTTTCAAGGCCCCAAAACAAAAAACCGGATGTGACCCAGCCCCCCATATTATTTCCCTTATGTTTCAGCCCTTTCACATTCTCCCAGAAATTTTTTTCCCGAAATTACCCTTCCCCTCTTCTTCTTCTTCTTCTCCTCTGCCTCCTCTGATGGCGGGGTCGATGGAGATGACGGCGGGGATGGAGCCCACGGAGAAGGCGAGGAGCTGGGTGGATTTGTGGGTGCGGGCGAGTCGGGCAAGGGTGCGGTGTGGTTGGCCACGGGTGAGGGAGATGAGAGAGCCTAGCACAGGGAGGCCTCTTGGTCCGCGGAGCTGGGTTTGTCCTATTTGGGTGCGGTTGTTCTCGGCCTCGACCTCAGCTGCTCCGCCGGCGCCGCCTTCAGTCCCCACTTCCTGTTCCTATTCTTGTAAGCCAGCGCCAGGCACATGGACGTGAACAGCAGCAGCGGCCCCGTGGTCACCGGCCTTGACAGGTGGTGCAGGCACGTGCTGCTCACGCGCCTGGCCTAGTGGAGCACTGGTTTTACTTAGGGTTGTCCGTGCTTGTTGTTGTCTGGAGGGTTCATTTTGTTTTGAGTGTTTGTTTAATGGTGGATTGAGATGAGAGGGGGTCTGGTGATATGACGTTGATGATGATATTATTTGTTTCTTGTAAAAGTGAAAGGAGGGAAGGGATACATGGAGACATGTATGTGATAGGGTTTGATGTGGTTGCAAGGAATGCATCTAGTTCTTTCAGGTGTAATAGAGAAGTTTTTCGATATTGTAGGTAGTAGAATCACTGCTTGCTTCATTTTTTATCTTCTTAATTTGGATGAGGAACTAACTATTGTAGTGTAGAACCAGTTTCTTAATTTGGATGAGGACGTTGTTAAGCATTATAGCTTAGCTGGGCATAGTGTGCATTGAACCGATGACTAAAGTAATTAATTCCATGGATCATATGAAACCTGGATTTGATCCCCAAAATATTTTGAGAAAGTACAGATATAAAGTCGTCCCTTGCGAGCAACAGTCTGGAATGCTAGTATTTGAAAATTTTAATCTTTTTATTTTATCCAATATCAAATATCTAACTAACTTGCTACTTGATTGACTGAACCAAAACTTGTGTGCATGTCTATATTGTTTATATTAATTTAGTTGTGTAAACGGTTGATGTGGATGACAAACAATGCAGCAAGCTTGACCTCTATTATTAAAGTTTACATGTAACAGTGAAAGTTAACATATTATGATGAAAGTTAACATGTTCAGCTGAAAATTAACATGTTATGAGGAGAGTTAACATATAATGATGAAAGTTAACATGTAAAAGTTAAACTTAACATAGTCGAATGAAAATTAACATCTTCAGATTAAAGTTAACATGTTATGAAGAAAGTTGACATGTTCACGTGAAAGATAACTTATTCAGCTAAAAGATAACATAGCCAAATGAAAGGTAACATGTTTAGCAGAAAGTTATCCAGCTAAAAGAAATTATAAAACTGTTACATTCTTACATAAGAATGTAATATCACCTGCAATATCACCTTCATCCTCGGCAATATCACATGTGAGAATGTAAGAAGTAACAGTTTTATAAAACTTCATCTAAGAATGTAAGAATGTAACAATTTTATAAGTATGTAATATCACCTGCAATACTCACCAAAAAAAATAACCTGCAATACCACCTCCATCCCCGGCAATATCACCTGTGAGAATGTAAGAAGTTTTATAATTTCTGGATACCTAGCGACACAAATCCCAAAATAATCCCCATGCTTCTTCCTAATATAATCCCCATGATTCTTCCTAATATCACCCATAAGAATGTAAGAAGTTTTATAATTTCTTTTGTCAAAACCTGAATATTATGATACATAATATGTACATAATCTTGAGGTTATTGTGTACATATTCTTACAGCTGATATTGCTTGAATAAACGATATGATTAGACTTACAATCTTAGATATTATAAAAATATAATACAATGTGCTACACAAGTCTTGACAACCTACATTGCTCTACCAAAAGTATTGTACTAATAAGCAATCCACACCAATCACCAATTACATTCATAGCTTTTTTAAAACGTTTCTACGAAAATAAAGCAGTGAAAGTTAACAGGTTTGGATGAAAGTTAACATAAAGCAGCAAAAGTTAACATTCAATATGAAAAGTTAACATACTAGGATGAAAGTTAACACGTTATTCTAAAAGTCAACATAGAACTATTATAGTTAACATTTTCCCATTTCTTTCTCCTGTTTTTATTTTTCCCTTTTGTTTTTCTGCTAGTTTTTCTGCCAAAGATATACAAGAACTCAATAATCTTAACATGTAACTATTATAGCTTCAATTTAATATATTATGATGAAAGTTAACATGTAATAGGAAATGTTAACATATTATGATGAAAGTTAACATGTTCAGCTGAAAGTTAGCATGTTATGATGAACGTTAACATGGTTAGTTGAAACTTAACGTGTTATGAGTACACACTTCATGCAAATCAGTGCTAGGTTTTGTCAAATTTCAACTTGAAAGTGCCATTTGGACTGGCAACACGGAGATGACCCATCATTATTTGAAATAATGCAATTAGTGTCTCTACCACAGTCCATTAACAAAAATATGTGACAAGAATCTATTTAATTTTTAATGTCAAGGATACCATGAAAAAAGAAATCAACAAGAAATAGACATCCTCATTTATTAAATTTGAGTTTGAAAGCACCATTTGGACTAATATCACCTATGTCATCAGTGTAACAAATAAATAATGTTTTCCACCTCCTCATATGTGACCAACACATATACACTAGCAAATGATAATAGTCAAACGGAACATATACATAAATTCCAGGACATTATAAAAACAAACTCCCCAATTTTAAGCATCTCTTGAATCAATTTCAGACACAACAGATCTATCATCTTCTTCCTTCAATGAATGTATCATCTCGGCAACTTGACTCATAGTTGGTCGAGCATCGGCAGATTTGTATATGCACTTTAATGCAATCTGAAGAAGCTTCACCATTCTATCTTCTTCAGATTGGTAGAATGGTGAAGCTTATATATAATGAGATTTAATAGTGTATTGTAACTTGAAGATTATATACATGATTTGTATATATTATGTACACAATAACCTCAAGATTATGTACATATTATGTATCATAATATTCAGGTTTTGATAAACATAATTTATATATAATCTTCAGTTTATTATGCTCATCAAGTTCTATTTGAAAGAAGTTGTACATATTCACATGACAGCCACACTATATTTCACATACAATCGTAACAAATTACACCAAAATTGATCACTAAATAGACACAATATATTCACATGACAGCCACAATATATTTTACATACAATCGTAACAAATTACACTTTGAAATGGCATCTGCAGATGCCTGATGTTCTCCTGAATACTTGTATAACTCAGCAAAAGTCAGCAGGGATTCAATATGGTAAGGATAATGTGCTAAGATGCTTGCAATCGCATTAATATCATTGATGGCTTTTGCAGCTTCAAATGCTTGTTGTGCATGCTGGTAAGATGCTGAATGCACATACCTAAAAAAGATGGGTTTAGTAACAAGTCAGGGATGTATTTGCAATAAGATTATCATAATACCCGTATCAAAATATGGCTTTATTTCCCATGTTGCTGTCTTATGCAAACTCTTTGCCTTCATTCATTTTGCAGGTTGCTGAGTTGAAGGGTGATGATGTTGTTTGTGTGATTAAGAATACTGCTACTCTGGCTGGATCTCTTTTCACTCTGCACATTTCTCAAATACACATCAACTTACCTACACTAACAGATAATGACAAAGATGTAAGTATATATATGTATGTGTGATAAAAATTTGCATTGGGTCGAATCAACTTACCTACCACGGGGCCGCTGCTGCTGTTCACGTCCATGTGCCTGGCGCTGGCTTACAAGAATAGGAACAGGAAGTGGGGACTGAAGGCGGCGCCGGTGGAGCAGCTGAGGTCGAGGCCGAGAACAACCGCACCCAAATAGGACAAACCCAGCTCCGCGGACCAAGAGGCCTCCCTGTGCTAGGCTCTCTCATCTCCCTCACCCGTGGCCAACCACACCGCACCCTTGCCCGACTCGCCCGCACCCACAAATCCACCCAGCTCCTCGCCTTCTCCGTGGGCTCCATCCCCGCCGTCATCTCCATCGACCCCGCCATCGCCAAGGAGATCCTCACCCACCCCAACTGCTGCTGTTCGCTGCTTATTGACGGAGGAGGCGGGGGAGGTCGGGGAGGGGGCCCGGGGAGGGGGTAGGGAGGACGGGTGGGGGTGTGGGCAAGGGTCTGGAGAAGAAGAAGATGAGGAGAAGAAGAAGAAGAAGAAGAAGAGAGGGGAGAGGAGGCAGAGGAGAAGAAGAAGAAGAAGAGGGGAAGGGTAATTTCGGGAAAAAAATTTCTGGGAGAATGTGAAAGGGCTGAAACATAAGGGAAATAATATGGGGGGCTGGGTCACATCCGGTTTTTTGTTTTGGGGCCTTGAAACATTTTTCCCTTGATTTTTTATTGGGTGTTAAACACAGTAATGTCAAAGAAAAGTTTAACCTTCTTTTCTAATAAACCATTGACTTTTAATTTTTAACAAAGAAACATCTAAATTTATCCCTCTCTTCTTAACGACTCCTAATTTTTTTCGCAACTAAGTCTTTAAAATTTACCCCTCTTTTCTAAAAAATTCACATTTTTTAACTCCTTATTTTATCCATGAAAATCCTAGAACTATTTTTTGCATGCGGCTTGTTTTGATAGAATCAAAATGTTGCTTGATGACATATATAAAGAAAATAGCACAAATGATTAGCAAGAGTTGATACCTAGTGATAATAAGGGTCGCAATCACCAACAACTAATAATTACTAATAATTATTTCTTTAGAGCTAGAATATGGATTCAGAGCATGTTTAGTTATCGGTCAAAGTGCTTTAAAAAGCCATTGAGGCATGTTTAGCAAACTGCTTATCTTGTTTTATAAGTAAAAATAAAAAATAAAAAAAATATTGGGCAACCCTTATCCTTTAAGAAAAGTCCAAGCCTCGTTTTCCTCTCTCAAAATCCATCGGAGCCATCACTTTTTTGGTCAGTTTGACAAAAAAAAAGGATTATAAGCTGCTCATTTGCCAAACACTCTACTGTTAAAAATCAACTATAATCCACTGAATTTACTAAACACTATGCACTATAAACTATTTAGTTTATAAGCTATTTGTGTATTTTAAGCCAAGTTAATTATAATTCATAGCTTCCAAACATGCTCTCGGAAATTTGCAAGGCAAAAGCGAAAGAGAATTTCAGAGCTGCCAGACTACGGAAATCCTAAAATAGCATCGGGTGCTAAGTGCAAAATATTCCGTCCCTTCAAATGCTGTCGGTCCAAGTTGCGAATCGGCGTCTGATCACACTTTTTCAGACTCCTCAACCAAATCCCTGCCCAATTTTTCTTGAGAAAAGAGGGGGGAAACCCTAAAAGCTAGAAAAATCAAATGGCGATGACGAGCTTGGCAAGACGAAGGGCGACGAGCCTCTTCAACTCCAGCATTCTGCGCGGCTCCGCCTTCTCTAGAAGCTTCGCATCGGGATCCGACGACAACGACGTCGTCGTGATCGGCGGTGGGCCTGGTGGCTACGTCGCGGCGATCAAGGCGGCGCAGCTAGGGCTCAAGACCACGTGCATCGAGAAAAGAGGAGCTCTAGGCGGCACGTGCCTCAACGTCGGATGCATCCCCTCTAAGGTGCCTAAACTAGGGTTTTATGAAATTCTCAATTATTTGTTATATTGTGTAGATCATTTTAGTTTCTGATAGTAAAATTGGATCCGAGATTTTTTTTTAATTTACATTTTTAATAAACTTTTGTCGTTAAAGGAGTTGACCTTTTCATTTATTGCTGGTTTCGCACTGTATTTTGGATCCTGTCAGTTTACTAATATTTTTTTTATTTGAAATATGCTTGTGTTATAAGATCTAATTCATATAAGGGAAGAGTTTCAATCAAGTATGGGTAATTGATTGCCAAATAATTGACATAAAATTCTAGAGGTACTGATCTTTTATTTGTTGTACTTCTGGTTATCACTTGTCGAATACCTTTAGTTAGCATATCATACAGGTTTTTTAACTACGTATGTTCATAGTTTTGGTACAACAATTGTCATTTACTTGAAGCATGCGAAGTGATGATAGCAATGCTCTTGATTGTTGTAATAGACTTGTTTGGAGGTGAAATAATCTATATCTCCATCGTACGTGGTTCTTTATGCAAATTAATGGTTGCGAGGTCTGCATCAATCTTCTTTAGTAGTACTAAAATGCTTTATGGGCTGCGCTTCAATCGGTTGCTTGTCCTTGTATCTTCCCTCATTCAGGGATAAATGATATATTCCAAGAGAGATTATTACCTTCATAACTATTTGTTTAGATAATTTTCAAGTCTGAGGAAATCTTGAGGATTGCTGGATCTATCTGCCTTCCACCTATTGATTTTTATGTTTCTATGTCCAGGGATAGACTCTTGAATAATGGTCGTATCTGCAATGATATCTTTCTTACATTTTATGTCTGCATACCTTGCATTGAGGATATTCCGTGCATGATTTATTTTTGAAGTATAGGTTTATAGCATAGCATGATGGTGCATACATTCACATGAACAAGAGAATTTATTAGGCAATAAGGAACTACTTATGTTGAACATCTATGTAGTTTGTTGTTAAGTGCATCGGTACAAATCTCTCTCACCAAATGGCTTTAATCATGGACTCGTGGGGTCGAAAGATATCAATATTTAAGTCTTGTTGTTGACATCCTTAAAAGAAGATTCTTCGTTGGATGAAGATCACATGATAGGGAGCATAGTTTCTCTTAAAGTTCCATGTATAAGTGTAGCAAGTTTGGAGGCTGGTCATAGAATTATGTCTTGTTTCTTCTAGAACTATTTGAGTGATTCAGGAGATTAATAAAATTCATGTCTCAATTCTTTCAAGTTTGATTCTTTCCCCCCTTTCCCCCTCCCTCCATCCCTCCCTCCCTCCCTCCCTCCGTGTTTTTCTTTTCAAAAACGAAGGCCTTGACTAAGTTTCTAGTTTTTAGTATAATTTAATCAGGTCAGGCTTAAATTTACTAGTTAACCCCAAGAATATTGGCTAGAAATCAGCTAGCTAAGTGATTTCTCATTAGATAATCGGGGCAAGTTGGACTGTTAGATATAGGTGCCCTGCAGGCAATAATTGTATATTGTAACAGGACCTATATGAATATAACATCCTTGTTCAAAATAATAGTATGCTATTTTGGTCAGATTTATCTGGTATTTTCATACAGATAAAGTCCTTAGAATGATACCAGACTATCAGACATTTCAGATATGATCGTAATGAAGAGATCTGATTTGTCGTTAACGTATATTCTAAAATGTTTCTAGTCAATGAAGTGTTGAAATGAGACATCATCACTTTGGGAAGACTAGTGTATACTCTATTTCTCCTTTGGTAGGATGATGATCCATCTATTGGATCATTGATGTGAGACATCAAGATATAGTATACAGGTGACTCATTAATGAATGAGTTGACTGAACGACTCACTAAGAACATCTAGTTGGTAATTATACTTAACTGTCAAATAGAAGTTTTCAAGTGATATAGTACATAGTAGTCTCTTGACCCGAGGCATGAGTGCAATATCTTACATGTCAGTATAGGTGTACTTAGACTTTTACCTAACGACAGTTCTCATCGAGTTGTGCATAATGGTTCTTGTTAGGTATATCCCGATGCATAAGTAGATATTAAGATGCCAATATGAGATTCGTCTCTCCCAGTATATGGGGTTAATGTCATAAGATTGTTTGATATAACTATAACCTAGAAATCCTTGATCGAGGTAAATAAGATAAACTGAGTGTCAGTTTGATCTTATAGGTTATGAGTTTAATATCAACAAATACTAATTGAGCAATTAGGGTTTGATAGTTTTTCATACCCTAGGCTCAATAGTTTGACATGGTTTGACGAAGAGATCAGACTGTACGACATTATCACTTAGTGGTCCTGATAAAATTGGATAAGCATCTTACAGACCTTTATCACAACTCATATCCGGATAGTCTTCATGTGCAGCTAGCACCTCTGTTGTACTTGTGGATATGATCCACTACCGAGTTTTTGAGTTGGGTCCTAGAGTCACACCAAGCGCGTACTTGAATCCTATAAAACACAATTTATAGAGTGATGCGTATGATTGATATGCATATATGATTTTTTTACCGGATACATATAAACGGTTATGTATATCGGTAAAATCGGAATGCTATGTGCTTAGGAAATGAATTCCAGTATTTTCCCTATGAAGTTAACTTTTAGTCAACTAGTTGACTTTTTGGTCAACAATTGACTTTTGGTGAACTCTTGATTTATTTGGTCATATAGTGACTAATTAGTTAAAGATTGGAATAATACTATATATCGTATTTATGAAATATTGTATTAGTAATAATAATTTGGTATTCTCATTTATGAAATACACATACCATGTATAATGAGTCATGAGATGAGTCACTTAGTGGTATGGTTTGAGCACATGGTTTATTAGTACAAGGTTTTGAAATGTAATGATTCATAAGATGATTCATTGCATGACTCACTTGATTAATCATTAGTTTTTGATGATTCATTGCATGACTCATAGGGTGAGTCATTAATGTCATGAACACATTTCACTCTATAAATATGAGCTCTCTCTTCATGAAAGGCTAATGAAAATTAAATTTCCATAAGAGAAAACAAGAGAGCTATACCTCTTATTAAACTCTAACAATCTTTGAGTAAGAGGAAGTAGTAGGATTTTAAGAACCCCGGGGTGGATATCTTGCCTCGCGTCTCAAGCAGCATCCCATAGCTTTCGGGTTTACTTAAAGAGTTGGAGATCCACTACGAGGAGTTTTCTGCATCAAAGAGAGCAAGCTAAAGGTTGTTCGATTCACTATCGAATCACGCTACAAAAGTATGACTTTCAAACCTTGTATGCTCTCTTAACAATAAGAATCATGTTAGATTTAGTTAGACGGTCCATATGAATATTTCATGCTCTCTACATGTTTAGTATTTTTTTTTTATACATGTCTTCCGCTGTGTATTATGCATGTAGAACCATGGCTCTGATACCATAAAGAAAATCGTGCTATGTCTACATGCATAATACACAGCGGAAGACATGTATAAAAAAATTACTAAGCATGTAGAGAGCAGGAAATATTCATATAAAAACTGTCAATAAACTCTATGGTCAATAAACTCTATTTTTCTTTAGTTGTCCACTACCATTCTATATATGGAACCATGGCTCTGATACCATGAAGAAAATCGTGCTATGTCTACATGCATAATACACAGCGGAAGACATGTATAAAAAATTACTAAGCATGTAGAGAGCATGAAATATTTATATGGACCGTCTAATTAAATCTAACATGATTCTTATTGTTAAGAGAGCATACAAGGTTTGAAAGTCATACTTTTGTAGCGTGATTTGATAGTGAATCGAATAACCTTTAGTTTGCTCTCTTTGATGCAGAAAACTCCTCGTAGTGGATCTCCAACTCTTTAAGTAAACCCAAAAGCTATTGAATGCTGCTTGAAACGCGAGGCAAGATATCCACCCCGTGTTCTTAAAATCCTACTATTTCCTCTTACTCAAAGATTGCTAGAGTTTAGTAAGAGGTATAGCTCTCTTGTTTTCTCTTATGAAAATTTAATTTTCATTAGCCTTTCATGAAGAGAGAGAGCTCATATTTATAGAGTGAAATGTGTTCATGACATGAATGACTCATCCTATGAGTTATGCAATGAATCATCAAAAATTAATGATTAATCAAGTGAGTCATGTAATGAATCATCTTATAAATCATTACATTTCAAAACCATATGCTAATAAACCATGTGCTCAAACCATACCACTAAGTGACTCATCTCATTTCAAAACCATATGCTAATAAACCATGTGCTCAAACCATACCACTAAGTGACTCATCTCATGACTCATTATACATGGTATGTGTATTTCATAAATGAGAATACCAAATTATTATTACTAATACAGTATTTCATAAATACGATATATAGTATTATTCCAATCTTTAACTAATTAGTCACTATATGACCAAATAAATCAAGAGTTCACCAAAAGTCAACTGTTGACCAAAAAGTCAACTAGTTGACTAAAAGTTAACTTTATAGGGAAAATAGTGGAATTCATTTCCTAAGCACATAGCATTCCGATTTTACCGATATACATAACCGTTTATGTGTATCCGGTAAAAAAATCATATATGCATATCAATCATACGCATCACTCTATAAATTATGTTTTATAGGATTCAAGTACGCGCTTGGTGTGACTCTAGGACCCAACTCAAAAACTCGGTAGTGGATCATATCCACAAGTACAACAGAGGTGCTAGCTGCACATGAAGACTATCCAGATATGAGTTTTGATAAAGGTCTGCAAGATGCTTATCCAATTTTATCAGGACCACTCAGTGATAATGCCGTATAGTCCGATCTCTTCGTCAAACCATGTCAAACTATTGAGCCTAGGATATGGAAAACTGTCAAACACTAACTAGTTATGCAACATATTGGAAACTAGATAGCATATTTCTTAATGTTGATTAAGTTATATGATTTATTGTTTTGCATTAAATGTAAATTAAAAGCTATAAATGAAATAACTAAACTAAGCAACCATAACCCCCCACACTCGAACAAGGGCCTAGATACAGATAGATATACATATATCGTTCTGCAGTCCTTAACACCAGCCTACTCCCGATTCATATCACAGTTCTTGATGATGGATCTGGAGCCCACTCATCCTGCCTTGATGATGGATCTGGAGCCCATAGTCTATATAGGATGTTAGACTGTAGCTTATAGATGGCAACAATTTTTCAATACTAATCTATTTTGACTTTATGCTAGACACATCATATATAGACTATGGGGTAAGTATCTATTCCGGTCGATGAAATAATACTCATACAAGCATATGGCATAATACCTGAAAAATTTGTATGATTAAATAGTATAAAAATACAGTGGTAATACAGAAGATAATTGTTCTGATGGATCTTCATGGACTTGAACATTGCACACTGCACACATGAAAAATCAGAGTGATGCGAGGCTCAAACCCACACATAATTTTTCAAGATAGATAATTAAGTACGAAAGAACATGTTTAGGGATTCACATTAAAAATATGTCAGGATAACTAATATTTCGCTATTAAATCTTAATATAAGGTCTTAATTTCTAATGCTAACACATCCAACATAGTAGCAAAGTTCATAATTTTTCAATTCAAATGTCAAATCCAGACTAATATCCAAGCAAAGGATTAGTTAGGGTCCTCAATTGAGGGTTATTAAAGAGGCATAATGGATTTATTTTGCTTTTCGGGATATGGGTTATCGAGTGTAAAGACTCAATTGAAATGTTATATAAGGCTATGTACTACATGCACCCTGTGCAAAGTCAGAATGATTGCGAAACGCAAAAGGCGCTACTACATCAGATGCGTGACGCTTCACCACCGACCTGTTTGCAGGGTGCATGAGGCACATTGAGGCATTAGAACTTTTTTTGAACCTAATCTGGAATGAAAACCCTAACTTTGATATCGAGGTTGGAGAGGGTGAAGACTTTGGGAACTAAGGAAGGAACAAGACATGGATAGTAATGATGAGGGTTATGAGATGCAGCTGCTGCAACAACCACTAGAATTGACCCTACATTTACTACATTACCCCAGTAGTCAAATTTTTATTTTTTTCAGAAGGGTATTCCTCTCTATATATTTTCAGTAGCAGTTTATCGTCTCTGTATTCATCTATGTGTCCTTTTTTCTTTTTTAGGTATAAATCAAAGTGAAAGAAAATAGAATTTTTTTTGTCTACAGTGAGGCATTAGAATTGTTTTTAGAAATTGATGAACAACAGCCCAAAAAGGTTCAAAATCAAAATATTATAAGATAGTAGCTAGGATGCATTATTTATGGGCATAATGATAGTCAATACATAGTGCATGTGCTTATTAGTAGATTTGAATGACTGATTTCTTGCTTCATGTGGTGTAAGTAGTGCAGAGAGAATTACAATTATATACATTTTGAGTTGTGCACTGGTGCATGTATGCGAAAATAGTGTCAGAACAATGATTTGGATGGCTTTTCATGCAAAGTTCTGAAGAGGGGAAGTTTTGTTGTTTAAAGTTCAAGAATGAGGAATGTATTACCATGGAAAATATATGAGGAAATAATACATTAAGTGAGAATGCTGCCTACGCTACAGATATATGTCGAAGATCATGGTATTGAGCTTGACCAAGATGGTTGTTTCACTTGTGATAATTAAGTTGGTGGTTGTGAAATTTGTAGGTTTATCAGTATATTTGGATAAGTTAGGTCTCATCAAAGTTGAATAGGGAAAAAACTAAGAGGCATTTACCCGATATGCGACATGAGGTATGCAATGGTTGAGACATTGTTCCTGCAAGCATGGATGAATGAGTTATGAGACACTAACCGCAAGACATGCAACTGCAGAGTAGAAAAAAGTTATGGCCTTAGATTGTTAAGATCTCCTTCCCTTGGAGATATACTTGAAATTGTCTTGTTTTTCAACCTTTTGGGCTGTTCATCAATTTGGATGTCATATATTACACTGTGCAACAAAGTTGATTTTTTTTGTGTTACATCTGTGGAACATATCTGATAACATTAGTCATGTGGCGAGACATGTTTAGTCAAATTTGGATATATGTATACCACACAGTGCAGGCATGGATGAATTAGTTAGGAGACACTAACTGTGCAGCAAAGGTGATTTTATTTATTTATTTTGTGTGTGTGTGTGTGTGTGTGTGTGTGTGTGTTACATCACATCTGATTACATTAGTCATGTGGTGAGAGGTGTTTAGTCAAATTTGGATATAACTAATTTCATTTGAATCTTCAAGCTATCATATGGAGCTTGCTGTGACTGTGGTAGTAGAGCCTTTCTACCTTTTTCTAACATTAGTGGGAAATAGAAATGGTGGATGTAATTCTAATCACGGGACCATGTAATTTATGGCATAAATTTCTGCAATTTTTTTACTTCACTGTGATGTAATAGATAAGTGATCTATCCATGTGCATGAGAAGATAGTGTGCAAGAGAGCTCTATTGTCAATCATGATTGCAGTTTTGATAGTTTCAAAGATGGGAAGTTTGAGATCTATGTCCTAAAATATGTTGCTCTGGTATTGTATCATGGATCATGCATTGTGAAGAATGGTGACTGAACTAGAGTGGAGATTAAGATTTGGACACCATAGCAAGTTGGAGCATTAAATATTATTAAATATTGATCTAAGGAGAAATGTATCAAGAGGACTACTGTAGGCTATGGAAAGCTCCAGGAAAATATTATTAAATATTAATTTAAGGAGAAATGTATCAAGAGGACAACTGTAGGCTATGGAAAGCTCCAAGAAGGCTTGTTGAAAGGAGACCTTTCCTTTACCTTTCTTTCTTCATTCAAAAGGATCAAGACTAGACCTTTTTTTTTCTTTTTTCCTTTTGCCTCCCTTTCTCTTTCCTCTGTATACATACATGTGTGTTTTGCTTTTTTCCCCTTTCTTTTCCTCTTTTTTGTTCTCTTCTCTTGGGGGAGGGGTGGGGGGCTGCTTTTCAGTTTTGCTTTTTGTTTGGTGCCGTCGATTATATTAGATGTTGCTTAGGGTGCATGATTGCTGAATGCTTAGGAGGCATTTGAAGTAATTAGGAATTGGCGATAGCCTGTAGTTGTATTTGGAATGGCCTCCAATGAATATCTCAGTTTTCTGTGATGCGGTTCTTAACTGTATGGTGTGGAATAGCTGAATTAACCGACAACGTGATTCCTTTTCAGTTTTGTTTATTATTTGGTGCCATGGAATATATTAGATGTTGATTAGGATACATGATTGCTGAATGCTTGGGAGGCATTTGGAGTAACTAGGAATTGCATTAGCCTGTGGAATGGTGTCCAATGAATATCTCTGTTTGTTGTGATGTGGTTCCTAATTGTATCATGTGGAGTAGCTGAATTAACTGAGAACAACTTTTGAATGATTCTTGTAGAAGTAGCTTAGTATGATATAGATAGCTGAATAACTGACAACTTTTGATTGACAACTCATGATTCTAACAAGATTTGTCTGTTTCCTTAGTATTTATTATAGAAATAATATTAAAATGATGAAGTCAACTCAGATATAAATTTTGAGTGTCATAAAATTTAGAGGATGCCTTGTAGATGGATGATTGAATTTTGATTGAGAATCAGGCATTGCTTCCTTGAAGGGATCCTAAATATGATGCTTCTCTTGGGTGAACCTGGTGGGGGAAGGTTTCTCCAAGTCTACTGTATATGCTGTAATTTTCATTCTTTTAAACGGGCTATTTGTTTCTATTATGCTTCATATTGCAGAGCTGAAAATTAACCATGTTTGCGTTCTCTGGTTGACTTGCATCGTTTAA